GAAGAAGATGGAATAACCGTATGTGGAACGACATGTATCTAGACAACGGGCCCAGTCTGCATCCGAGTAACCAATTAAGGATGATTTGGGAGGATGAATAAATGTAAGACCAAAGGAGATTGTGCCTTTAATATATCGAAGAATTCGCTTGAAAAATTGATAATGATTTATAGTTGGAGCCTGAAGAAATTGACTGACTTGATTTACTGCGTAAGACAAGTCGGGTCTCGTAATAGTTAAGTACTGAAGTGATCCAACCAATGAGCGATATAGAGTAGGATCAGAAAAAGGAACACCATCAGCTGTCAAGGATTCATGAGGCGCAGGAGGAGTGTGCACTGGTTTGGAATCATACAAGCCAGACCTTTTTAGGATATCAGTAGCATACTTAGACTGAGTAAGGAATAAGCCATTGGCAGTATAAGCTAGTTCAAGTCCCAAGAAGTAGTTGAGATCTCTAAGGTCTTTTATTGCAAACTCGTGGTTGAGACGAGAAATGAAGTTGGCAATCGTGAGTTCATTGTTACCGATAAGAATAAGATCGTCTACATACACAAGCAGGTACACAGTGCACGAATCACTGAGAAATACAAACAATGATGGATCAGCATGACTGCATGTGAATCCATAGGAAAGAAGAAACGTGCTCAGTCGTTGAAACAATGCTCGTGGGGCTTGTTTTAAGCCATACAAAGCTTTTGATAGCTTGCAAACATGATCCAGAAATTGAAGATTTACAAACCCTGTTGGTTGTTCCATAAATACAGTTTTAGTCAAATTTTCATTGAGGAAAGCATTTTTTACGTCCAATTGATGTAACTTCCAGCTATTCAAGGTGGCAAGAGATAAAACAATTCATACTGTTGAGGATTTTACTACAAGACTAAATGTGTGAGAATAATCAAGCCCTAGAATTTGAGTAAAACCTTGAGCTACTAAACGAGCCTTGAATCGTTCAATTGAGCCATCAGAGTGGTATTTAATGCGATAAACCCATTTGGAACCAACAACATTAGAAGAAGAGGGACGTGGTACCAAAACCCATGTAGCATTTTGTCTTAGGGCCTCCATTTCCACGCGCATTGCATTCATCCACTTTGGATCTTTAGCTGCGGTTTTAAAACCTTTTGGTTCGATTGCAGAGTTCAAAGCAACATGAAGACAGTGAGTTTCAAGACTAGCTAGATCAGCTCGATATTTTGGTTTGAAGATTCCTGCTTTAGATCGAGTTGTCATAGGATGAGTGGTGGAAGGAACCGGTTAGGAGAATGTTGAAGGTGATTGGTTAATAGGTTTAGAATTGGCTTGAGTAGGTAATGGATTAAAGGATGGGTTGTTTGGTGGGGAGGGTGATGAGGAGCTGTTAGGAGAAGAAGGAATATTAATTGTGGTAGCTGAACATGACCTTGAATCGCATAAAGAACATGGAGGTTCATTAGCTTTATTGGTTCTTGTAGGTTTCGAAATGAAATTTGGGGAGGGTAAGAGTGAGTAAGGAGGCTCTCTATCAAAAGTGGTAAGATCCAAAGTAGATAGATCAATGCTTATTTTTGATGCACCAAAAGGAAATAGCAGTTCGTTGAACCGAGCGTGTCTTGAGATATAAATGCGGGAAGTGATCGGATCAAGACATTTAAAACCTTTATATTAGGAGTTGTAACCAATGGACACACAAGGAATACTTCTTGGTTCAAGTTTATGACATGAGTAATCCCTCAAGTAAGGGAAAACTTGACATCCATAAGCACGAAAGTGAGCATAATTTGGTGGTTGAGAGAAAATCAACTCAAATGGAGAAATGCCATCCAATAATTTATTTGGTAACCGATTGATGATGTATGCTGCTGAGCTAAAAGCATCGGGACAAAAACAAATCGCAATATTAGCATTAAACATCATTGCTAATCCTGTTTCCACAATATGCCTATGTTTGCGTTCCACACGGCCATTTTGTTGATGTGTGTACGGGCATGATAGGCAATGAAAAATGCCATTTTCTTCAAAAAATTTGTGAACCGTATGATTCACAAATTCTGTACAACCATCACTTTGAAAAACTTTAATCTTTCTTGAACATTGAGTTTGAACAAGATTGATAAAGGCTGGAAGAACTGAATAGAAACCTATCTTAGCTTTGAGTGGATAAAACCATGTATATCTGGAATGGTCATCAACAAAAATCACATAATACAAATAACCATCTTTAGAGCAAACAGGAGCGGGTCCCCATAAATCACAATGGACAATATCTAAGAGATGAAGAGCACGTTTATGGTTACGTTCAAAAGGTAGTTTTTGCCCTTTAGAAAGTTGACAAGGTTCACAAACAGTGGGTTTTGGTAAACCGAAGTAACAGACAAAGCACCAATTTATTTAAAGTTTGAATAACATTAAAAGAAACGTGGCCTAATCGATTGTGCCATAGCTCATAGGAGGCCCGATTTGAAGTTCCTTGTAAAGCAACCAACGCCTGAGGTTCATCTTTAAGCACATACAACCCCTGTTCACAACGACCTTTAGCAAGCACCCTTTTGGTTTGACGATCCTGAATTGTAAAGAAAGGTTGAGAAAACAACACATCAACTAGGAGATCCTTGGTTAGCTTGCTAACAGATAACAATTTCTTGGTAAGACTAGGAACCACTAGAACATCATATAACGATAGGTTATTTGAAAGATGTGAGATACCGGTACGAGTGATTGGTAATGTTTTACCATTCCCAAAAATAACCTGAGTTGTACCTGTATAAGACATAGATTGTTAAAGAGTTTGAGAATCGGGAGTCATATGAGCCGTCGCCCCTGAATCAATGTGCCAATCAGGAGTATCTTCAGTGACATGACATTTGGCATGAAAGGCTTGTGCTAGAGACTCATTCGATAGGGCTGCTTTTAGAGCATAAGAAGACAAACTTGGACAAGAATAAGCATAATGTCCATTATTTCTACATAATTGGCAATAGGGGAGACGTCGCCCAGCAGAACGACCCCATTGAGAGCCACGACTGTTGTTCCCATGATATCCGGGACTTGTATTACGCCCCCGATTAGAAGAAGGGTAGGGACTGTGTTGAGCCTGAAAAGCAGCCGGTGGGGAAGAAGCACCATGAATTGACTCGAGAAAAAGCTCATGGCTTTCTGCCAGTGATAGCAAATCACGGAAACTTGGGGATGGTTTGGTAGCCCTGATTGCAGTAGAAAAAGTCTCAAAGGAGGCCCCTAAGCCGCAAAGAAACCAGTGTACCTTGTCAATGTCGGCAACCGGATTTCCGATCGCTGCTAATTGATCACAGAGTGCCTTAAACCGGCGACCATAGTCAGAAACTGAAGTCGTCCCTTTGTTAATTTGACGAAGCATGTCACGAAGTGAGTGAATGCGCTCAACTGAAGAATTGTTGTAAGCATTTTCAAGTGCAAGCCAGATGTCGCGAGCATTTGTGAGACCCAGAACTTCAGCCGAAGATTCTTCAGTGAGGGAGGCATTCAATATAAGTATGGCTCGTTGATCATTCTCCTGCCAGGAAGGTAGAGCAGGGTTGGGAACAATTTTGTTATCAGAAATTATGGTGGGAGGCGGCTGGGTTAGGGTTCCATCAAGATGACCTGATAACTTTTGATAGGCAAATAGTAGGGTCATATGATTTTTCCAAAGTAGATAATTAGTGGATGATAACTTAATAGTTATCATATGGAGAATAGTATTCATAGAGAGAGAACTATCTTTAGAAATAGAAGAAGACATATTGCCCAGGACATAAAAGAACGATGAAGTTTTTAGAAGAAAAAGGATGAAGAATGATAGAAAGAAAGAATGGCTGATACCATGTGAGATTCTTGTAAATTCACCTCAATGATGATAGAGGTGGAAACACGTTTATATAAAGAGAAGTTTACAAAATTACCCCTACAATCAAGGGGATAATTGATACAGAGAATATGACTAAATAATCACAATTAATATGGCTAATAATAAAGTAAATCATCTAATATATATATATATATATATATATATATATATATATATATATATATATATATATATATATATATATATGGGTAAAGTGAATATACCTAACAATCTTATATAAGCTTAGGTACCTAACGTCATCAAACTACATCATTTTGCATTAAATTTTCATTGCAATCATCCAAGGTTCTTAAACTTCATCCCTAAACTTGATTTACTTCAAAAAAATTTGGAAATTCATCATTATATTTCTCCTACATCCTTTCATTTGTAGCGGTAAGATATGAAGCCCATCAAGTGGTGTTCGATAGAAAGACATGATGTAAAAGAAAGATATTTGTGAAAGTCCAAAGATTTTGGAAGTAATCAAGTTATGAGGTTGAAGTTTAACAACCTTAGGCAATTACAATGTAAATATGATACAAACCGATGTAGTATTATGGAGTTAGGTACCTAAACTTATATAAGGTTGTTAGGTATATTCACTTTACTATATATATATATATATATATATATATATATATATATATATATATATATATATATATATGGTATTACTAACAAGAGGATCCAATAGCCACTTTTTTTTAAACATAGAAGTTTGTCACTTATATATATATATATATATATATATATATATATATATATATATATATATATATGAGTTTGAATATTGTATTCGGATAAATAAGTATAGTCTAAAACAATATATGCCATAAATATACTTAAAATTAATCATTAGAATATCCACAATGCATAATTCAAGAGTTGATTGATCTGTCATGTCTAATTGACATTTAGTAGATTAAACTCTATCATTATGAGATGTCATGTTGGCATCAAGTTCAATGGTCACTGAAGTTTTCAATGAGAAAAATTAAACTTTTTAAATATTAAATATATATTTTATTAAGCTCTATTGCATTGTAAAAAAAATTAATATAAAGTTGTATAGTAAATAAAATGATGATATGTAAATCCATTAAATTATAAAAAGTTTAATGTATTATGGATATTTCAATTTTGTTTTAAGGTTGTGTTCTTGTTGGTACTTCCCAAACTTATACAAGAAGAGCGAATAAAAACGATCATGACCACTCTTCTGCTAGTTTTCATGTTCCTGTTCCTCCCCAAAGTCTACCACTCCATCTACTTAATGAGACGGATGGCAAAGGTCACCGGCTACATCTTCGGCACTATTTGGTGGGGTTTCGCCCTTAATCTCATCACTTATTTTATTGCCTCTCATGTAAGAATTCATGATATAAGTTCCTTTAATTTATGCCATTAATAGTATGTATGATTACACTGGTTTTTGGTGGACAACAGGTTGCCGGGGGCTGTTGGTACGTTTTGGCAATACAACGAGTGGTTTTGTGTCTTAGACAACAATGTGAAAACAAAAACTCATGCGATCTTACCCTTTCGTGCGCCGAAGTGATTTGCTACCATTTTTCAGGAACCTCAGGAAATCCATGCAACAGAAACTTCACCATGCATGCTGCGACAATGCCATTGTGTTTAGATACGAATGGACCGTACAATTATGGTATCTATCAGTGGGCGCTTCCTGTTATCTCTAGCAACTCACTAAGGATAAAAATTCTTTATCCTATCTTTTGGGGTTTAATGAGTCTCAGGTAAATAAACTATAACTTGATGCAATTCTTCGCTGTTGATCTCAAATATTTGATCATATTATACTTTGATTTCAGCACTTTCGGGAATGATCTTGAGCCCACTAGTCACTGGGTTGAAGTGATCTTCAGTATTTGCATCGTGCTCAGTGGCTTGATGCTCTTCACCTTATTGATTGGTAATATTCAGGTGACCAAAAGTTTAACATTTGATGATGCTGGTTGCAATGTAGGAAAAAGAGGTTGTTTCTAATGATTAGGATTGCCATAGGTGTTTCTGCATGCTGTTATGGCGAGGAAGAAGAAAATGCAACTGAGATGCCGAGATATGGAGTGGTGGATGAAAAGGAGACAATTGCCATCGCTTCTTAGAAATAGAGTTCGCCATTATGAACGCCAAAATTGGGTTTTGATGGGTGGAGAAGATGAGATGGAATTGATTAAAGAGTTCCCAGAAGGCCTCAGACGAGATATTAAACGGTTTTTGTGTATTGATCTAATCCGAATGGTAAATTTAGACCTTTTAAAGACCACATCTCTCTAGATCCTTAAGTTAGTCAATTTTCAATTCTCATCAATGCATATGTTTCAGGTACCATTGTTCCATAACTTGGAAGATCTTATTCTTGATAACATCTGTGATCGCGTTAAGCCGCTTGTGTTTTCAAAAGACGAAAAGGTATGACAAAGCGCAAATCTTTTTATAGTTTTTTGTTAATCTTTCCTTATTAAGGGTGGCTTATTGATGAAGAAGATAGGAGTAGTTAACACACTCCAAAAGAGTTGCCTTGGTTCTACTCTTGGCCACTACTTTTTTGGTAGTTTTGAAGGGTATTGTATGAGGCTATGAGCCTGAGATTTCTGCAATTTCAACCACATGGGGTTATTAATACCTTATAGCCTACAAGAAAATCTTTTTTTCATTTGCACTCAAGGCACACTTTGATTTGTGGTGGCCATGTATATTGTCGAAATTAATGGTTAACAAGTTCGAGTCTCAGCATGCAAAGCCAGTGTTGTCATTTGTCGTGTTGATTGAGTTCCTTGTGGGCACTCCGCTCTTATTCCGTTGATCTTTCGCTCAAATCTTTGATCTTTTGAACAAACTTTATATATTTTTCTATCAATAGATCATCAGGGAAGGGGATCTAGTGCAACGAATGGTGTTCATTGTTCAAGGGCGTGTAAAAAGCTACCAAAACCTAAGTAAAGGAGTTGTAGCCACAAGCATCCTGGACCCCGGAGGCTACTTCGGCGATGAGCTTCTATCGTGGTGCCTTCGGAGACCAATGATAAACAGGCTTCCGTCATCATCGGCTACATTTACGTGTTTAGAAGCTACACATGCGTTTGGGTTGGATGCCAACCATCTTCAGTATGTTACAGAGCATTTTCGGTACAAATTTGCAAACGAGAGGCTGAAGCGTACAGTGAGATATTACTCCTCTAACTGGCGGACATGGGCGGCAGTAAATATCCAGCTTGGGTGGAGGAGGTATATGGCGAGGATGAGGCCGGTGATGACTATTGTAAGTGCAGAGAATAATTGCAGCGACCGTATGCTTAGGCAGTATGCTGCCATTTTCATGTCAATTAGGCCACATGATCATTTGGATTGAACTGTGACTATCATATATTGGTACAAATCGAAAAAAGCTCGTTTGATGATTTCGTGTGACGTGAACTCCAATAAACTCATGCCTCTAAAGTTTGATCGATGCTTACTCATATTATATTTTATTCATTTGTACCATATACCTCTACATATAATTTCAATTATGTAAAATATAATTTATTATCACATTATCTGCCTGTTTTTATAATGTATAGTTTGTTTTTATATGTACCATACCCAAAATCGAACAAATTTGGTAAAACTATACCGAAGTGTAGTTAAATACGTGGTTTTATTAATACAGAATTCTAGAATTGGAGTGGGACCTACTAAGATTAATATTATTAAAAAGATATAATCAATAATAAGTAAAAATAAAAAAAAGATAAAAATTATAGAGATAGAAATTAATAACCCGTTTGATAGACCTCTTGTTATGTTCAAACATATATTCTAACGGAATGAGTCGGAAAATTTTGTTTGATTTGTACAAAAAAAAATTGTTTTTTCCTAATAAACACTACAAGAAATACAACTTTTAGCAGCAACATCAATAGTTGCGACATGGACCTTTAGCGATAACATATCGAAAAGTCGCAGCTAAAGGTCAATATCGCCGTTATTGATGTCAACACTAAAGGGCGACATGAACAATGTCGCCGTTATTTGTTTGATTTGTACACAAAAATTGTTTTTCCTAATAAACACTACAAGAAATACAACTTTTAGCGGCGATATCAATAGTGGCAACATGGACCTTTAGCGATAACATATCGAAAAGTCGCCGCTAAAGGTCAATGTCGCCGTTATTGGTGTCAACACTAAAGGGCCATGACACGGATCCGTATTTTGACGTTCTCGTAAACAAGAACCGTCCGATCGTGTTTCTAATCCAACGTCTGGGGTACTCGTGGAACGCATAAAAGCACTATTGGCGACTCTTGTCACTGCTAAAGACCTACAAATATCGCCGCTAAAGATTGAATACGTGATGCGGCAATAATTACCTCCGAAGAGTTGCCGCTATTGATAGAAGTCGCCGTTAAAGCCTCAAACGTCGCATATAAATGTGTCACCGCTAAAGGTCGACGCAGCTAACCAATAAAATCGACACCTTTTCATTCTCTCTTCTGTTGACTCCATTATCGCTGCTGTGTTTCTTTTCTGCATATCCTTCGTCGGTTCACAAGAAGAAGATAGCGGCGACAACCGCCACATAGAAGAGGATACCAGCGGGTGAAACTATTTTCCGGTGGGGATCAATTTTTCTGGCAACCTTGAGTAATTTCCAGCGATTGAGAGGTATTTCCAGCTCATTTTCTTTTCCCTTTGCACTTGTAACATTGATTTTAAGCTTATTTTAGTGGTTAATTGCAAAAAATTGTTGATTTCAATTTTTGATTGAGTTCCCAACCACCACCCACGACTACCACCATCACTGTACCATTTTCGTTGATTTTCGCCACCACATGTTATATTTACTTCTATTTAGTGTGAAATTTGAGTTTAATTGCAAAATATGTGTAGTTGTATAAATTATGTGAAAATTGCATATGATTGTATATTTGATATATGTATATGACTATATGTAAATTTGGTTTTATATATGTTAATGTATGTGTGTTTGGTGTATATATGGTATATGAATGTGAAATATGTGTATTTGGTATAAGTAGGATGGTATTATGTATATACGTGAAAGTATGTGTATTTGATACAAGTACGATGCTATTATGTATGTATGTCAATGTATGTATTTTGATGTATATGTGGTATATGAATGTGAAGTTTGTGTATTTGGTATAAGTAGGATGATATTATCTATATATGTGAATATATATATATATATATATATATATATATATATATATATATATATATATATTTGGTATTAGTTGGATGTGATTATGTACGTATGTGAATGTATGTATATTTGGTGTATATGTAGTATATGTACGTGAAAGTATGTGTATTTAATGCTCTTATGTATTATGTGAAACTATGTGGTTTTGGTATAAGTAGGAAGGTATATGTATTTAATGTTTTTATTTATTATATGAAACTATATGGTTTTGGTATAAGTACGATGCTATAATTAGAAAAAAAAAACAAAAATAAAATGTTGTAAAATTGTTTAAAATAAAATGTATATATATATATATATATATATATATATATATATATATATATATATATATATATATATAATGGAAAAAACTAATCGCTAAACATATACCAAATTATTAATTTTGGTATATTATTAATTTTGATTTATTTAATATAATTGTTTTTTTATAACCGTGTGAAAAAAAATCGTTGCATCTTTGACACTATATATATATATATATATATATATATATATATATATATATATATATATATATATATATATATATATATATATATAATTGTTTAAATTACAATGCTATAATTGAAAAAAAAAACAACAAAAATATTATACATAAAAAAATATAAAAAGGTACAATAGTAAGATGCATCTTTTTGAAAACATAAAGTAAACCACTACAATAGGAAACAACAACATAATATAATTATTTAAAGTACAATAATATAATTAGAAAAAAAAGCGTTATGAATAAAAAAAATAGAAAATAGTATAATAGTAAGTGATGTGTCTAATCTAATCTTTTATTTTTATTGCATTTAGGTTGTATATAGTTGCATTTAGAGTTAGTCATTTAGGGCATTCATAAAAATTGCATAAAAAATTCAAAAATATTGCATATTTTCTTTCTTTCTTTTCTAATTTTCATACTTTTTAGATGCATTCTAGTTTAAGTTCATGCATTTTTGTTCTCTCTTGGCTTCTCATCCCTACAGGTACCATAGCGCCGAGTCATAAATATTGAATCATAGATTGGTCCTGGGTCTTGATATGGAATTCCTTGTATTTGATGAATGGGGCACGTTTTGAGCCTCACAGACCACTTTGAGACCGCTTGTGTGGGGGTCAGATGCAGGTAGCTTGATTGGGTCTAGGTGCGGAGGGATGTGGTTGGTCATGCCAATGTGTGCAAGCAAAGACTAGCCCGGTAAGGTATTTTGAAGACATTGAAGATATTGAAGACTCGCATCTTGGTTTTGGAGGGAGTACCCCTTAGTACTCCCGAGTCTCGTCCGAGCCTTGTTTAGATAGATTCTCACCGCCTTTTTAGGATAGGTTATCATTTTTCTAGGGGTCTAGAGTAGATAGTTAGATAGATTTTGTTTATCACACCTTGCATTGAGGTGCTTGATGAACTTTGAAGTGGGTCCCCCAATTCACATCTTTTGGGACCAAGTCTTTTCGGTAACACCCATTTTTGAGTCATTTCCCACCCTTTTTAGTTGATCTTGGCACGTTGTCAATGATCATTAGGTTTTCATATTAGCCTCCATCTATCACTCAATTTTCACTATTGGAGTCCTATGTTACTTGGTGAAATTCCTTAGACCTTCAAGAAGCAACACAAAGAATGAAGAAATTTGAAAAAGTGAAGAAAATAAGAGCCTATTAAAGATGATTCAAGAAAAGCAACAAAAACAAAGAAGAAAAAGAGCAACACAAAAAGAAGAACAAGATTCCAAGTTCAAGACTTATGTTATATATGTTGATTATAAAAAAAAAAAAAAAAAAAAAAAAAAAAAAAAAAATACCAAATTCCAAGCAGCAAAACGTGATTGAAGACCCAATAATAGAAGTTCAAGATTGAAGATTTAGGTTGTTAGGTTTAGATTTAGGTTAAGTATAATTTTTATTATTTTATTTTATTTTTTGATTTTTGGTGAGAAAAGGCCCCGACGATGAGACGGTAGACTGTAAAGGACAGTACAAGGGAGAAGCCTCTGAAACCGGATGTTTGCCCGGAGGCCGTGCTACAAAACCCTATTTCGTTATTATACACTTTGGCCTGACAAATGTAGGAATCATAGTGTGTGAAGAGGCGCCTTTCCTTCGTGCACTATGGTCTACATTGGTGATTTAAAGTGCCCCCACTGGGCGCATCTCTGTTTCCTTTGTCTTGCACACCGCGACCGCATCCAGCCGTGATCTATTCGCCCATCAAGTGGTTGAGAATGTGGTTTATGGCTCTAAAGCGGGGAACATTTTGAAGATGCGTAGGGTCCATTGAAGGACTAATTCTGACCATGTTGACTGATGTTGACCAAGTTCTATGGTATCTTTCTTTTTCCTTTTTAGATAGTTCATCCCGAGCTCATTTTTAGTCTTGTTCTAACTTGGGGACAAGTTAGGTTTAAGCTTGGGGTGATTTGATAGCTTATTTTATTTCCTTATTTTTATTAGTTTATTTTAGTTTTTTAGATCTTTTTATCATTAATGCATTGTATTTTATTTATTTTCTTTAGTTTGGATCGTACCGGGTGCTTGTTATGTTGCATAAGATATTTTGTAGGTTTTTCGGTGCTTGTTGCGGTTGCGGGTTGATCAGAGACGGGCTTAGTGGGCTCCCGAGGCATTATTGGGCTTGGCGGAATCAAAGAGGATGAATTGGGCCTTGAAAGATATTGGCTTGGATTATTTGGGCTTGTGAAGATGGATCATAAAATTCAAATTTTGGGCTTGGAGCATCCATTTGGTGGCTAAATGATGATTGGTGCATTTCAAATTACAGGAAAGGAGGGGGGACCAAAGGAATCTTTGGTAGTGGAAGGGTGTAGTGGCTTGGTGGACCAATAGCATTACAGCAACATTTGCGCGGGTGGAATTTCCGTCGCGCGGGTACCCGCGCAACTGCCCAGTTTGGGCATTTTGGTCATTTGGCTTGCCTTAACCCTTGGGGATCAGATCTGGAGGCTGCATTCACGTTTTTCCACCATTAGAGACCTGCAAGAGGCGATTTTGGGAGCAAAAGTTCATTTCCTTTCATCTTTCCAAATCTTAGGTAGTTTCTTTATGCAATTAGATTATTGTTCTTGTTTCTTTGTTGCCATGAGTGGCTAATACTCTTATTTGGTTAATTTGGCTGAAAACCAATGAATGTT